CAGACTAGTATTTTATACTGCGTGATGGTTGAGGGCGAGATGAAAAACTACCTAACTTCCCAGACCTGCAGTTCTAAATGCAATGAGAAAATCATCTAAGAACATTCAGTGATTACACTCCTAAGTGAATGAATTCTACTCTTACGTTAACATCTTTGTCTTGAGTGACCTGGTTCTTTTATTTTACTTCTAAAACTATGTTTTTAAGCCCATTACCTGCTCCTCAGTTAAGTACTATTCATAATGAATCCGGTTTTTTATCATTATTTGTCCCTTGGGTTCCTAATGGAACATAGGGCTTCATTAGCACGTCTCCAATGAGCTCTGTTCTCTAAAATCTTTTGAACCTCGCTGCACGACAGCCCACAACCTCTCATTTCTTCCTCTCACAATCTCCTCCATGCCACCCTCGCCTTGGACGCCCAACTCGTCGCTTCCCATCTGGGTTCCACTCGAGAAAAAGGCCTGGTTTGACGCTTGACGCCCCCAGTCGGCCTTCTCAGTGTATGCCCAATCTATCTCCACTTTCTGCTTCTGCATATTTGTTGCGTGATAGGTTCCTGAAAAGTTGGTTCGTTCAAAACCAGAGTTCCTTGTTGCTTATTCTTGTTATTCTGGAAAACCATCTGATCTTCAGTTACGAGCCAGCGTAGGCAGTTGTTGATGAATGTCTGTAGTTTGTTGGAAATGCCTTTCGTAACATGCCAAGTCTCTGAAGCATAAAACAAAAGCACTGACTTGACAAAATTGGTGTTGAAGACCTGGATCATGTTCCACATGCTGAGTAAAAAAAAGAAGATCTCCACACTGGTTTCAGGCTAATGAACGTATGTCTTGCTTCTTTGATCCTGAATTTGACGTTTTCATCTGTGCCCATGCCGCCTGTAGTTGAAACAGTGCTGCCTAGATAGGTGAAGAAGGCAACTTCCTTTAAGTTTCTCCCGTTGATGGTGATTGCAGCTTGTTGTTGCTGATGTTGTTGGTGTTAGTTGAGTATCTTCATCACCTCTGTCTTCTCTATATTCACTTGAACTCTCGTCTTCCCTGCCTCTTCTGTCAACTTGTTAGTTTTTGCCTGCAGATCTTCAAGTTTGCGTGACATTAGACGTAAGAAATCATCGGCGAAATCCAAATCTTATAGGATCTTTTCCCCGCTCCAGCGTCTACCCCTCTTCTCGCTCCCCACTGTTTGTTGCATGATCCAGTCCACCACAATCAGGAATATCATGGACGACAGGAGACAGCCTTGTTTCACTCTTGTCTTCATTTCAAGAGCATCACTGAGCTTTCCATTGTAAATTACTTGTCATGTGGCGTCTTCATATAGTTGTTGAATGAGGCGGATAAAGGTTTGCGGTACTCCGTAGTAGTGAAGCAGCTTCCAAATTACTTCTCGGTCGACGCTGTCAAAGGCCTTTTCAAAGTCGATGAAGTTGAGGCAGAGAGCTGATTGCCATTCTATGCTCTGTTCTATGATGATGCGTAGCGTTGCAATTCGGTCTGCACATGATTTGTACTTCCTGAAGCCTGCCTATTCCAGTCGTAGTTTTGAATCCAGTGCATCCTATAGTCTCTCCAGGATGATGCGGCTTAATATTTTACTTGGGGTGGACAGGAGAGTGATTCCGTGTCAGTTCTTGCAAACACTGAGGTCTCCTTTCTTCGGCAGTTTGACAAGGTAACCCTTCTTCCAATCGACAGGTACCTTCTCTTCCTTCCACACCTTCTGCAATAGTGGTGTGAGCATGTCTGCTGTTGTCTCTGCGTCTGTTCTCAGTGCTTCTGGCGGTATCCCATCTGGTCCAGCTGCTTTCCCGCATTTCAGTAGCTTTATGGCGTTCAGGACTTCCACTTTTGTTGGAGGATTTATGTTCACTTGTAGTTCAGCGGCTGCAGGTAGTATTTCTGGACGAAGTGCAAAAGGTGGTGGTGGTGGTCGATTCAAGAGCTTCTTGAAGTGGTCGGCCCATTGTTTCCTCTGATTCTCTTCTTTCATAATTAAATTTCCGTCATCATCTTTTATTGGTTTCATCTGTGCTGATCTCTTCCCGGATAGTAACCTTGTTATTTGATACAATGTTGTCAGGAAAAAATCTCTCTTACCTGCAGCCTGTTCTGCTTCACTTGCCAGTGTTTCGTAGAAGTGTCTTTTGCCTTTCCGTGCACTCTTCTTCACTTCTTTGTCCAGTGTTTTATACGTTGTACTCGCTTCCTCTTCTCGTTGTGCATCCTTGCACTGATTTATCTTCTGCTTCACCATCCTCCTCTCTTCTATCAGCTTCCATGTGTCCGTTAACATCCATTCCTTGTGTTCTTTCTCCTTCCTTCCTAATACAGCTGTGCAGGTTTCTTTCCACATCTCTTTCAAGGACTTCCAGTGTTCATCCACACAGGTTTCTTAAAGGATGTTGCTCGATATCTCCCATTTTGTCTTCATGGCTGATGTGAAGATTTCCTTTGTAGTTTCGTCCTTCAGTTTCTGGCTGTTGTACTTGAACTGCGGTCTATAACCAGCTTTCTTGAAGGTCTTTAACTTTATTTGGAAGGTTCCTTGGACTAGATAGTGGCCTGAGCCTACATCTGCTCCTCTTCTTCACCTTGTATCAAGTAGGCTGCGTCTCCACTTTCTTGAGATTGAGATAAAGTCGATCTGATTTTTAGTGTGTCCTGGTGTCTGGTGAAATCCATGTCACTCGCTTTGCGGATATCCTTTTGCTTGAACACAGTGAATCCAATCACCGGTAAATCCGGTAAAGGAATATTTTTTTGTGGACAGTTTGTCATAAGCTGTTCCTGACGTAACTATGCACCTGTTCTTTAAGCATAAAAGAATCGCTGTACAGGAGGCTTTTAAAGTACTAACTTTATACTGATGAATTCATAACTTCTGACAAACTGCCTAATAACACAGGACTACTGGAAACCCCTGTCTACAGAAAAACGTTTCAGTCTACTTTTCAAAGCTAATAAACTATTTGAAAATGATCATCAATATTTGAATGAGCATGCATCAAAGGAATGGGGAATATTCCTGCACATGAAATGAACAGGTTACGATCAGTCTTTGTCAGCTTTTAAATTGCCATTGGCGAATAATCTATTTCAAATTAAATATAATTTTGAGCTTGTGTATCAGACGTAAAGCTTCAATGAAGTTCTAGATTATAAAAAATTGAACATAGAATTCTTTCAATAAAATAAAAGTTCAAAGGTTAGACACTTTCCTTAATTTATGTCAAATTAGTTGCTTATCAGCGAAAAGTGCTGGGTCCTTATCACCAGCATTCAGTCGTTGTCTTTAAATTTGGTCTTCATCTGCTACCCCTATTTTCTATAACATCTGAAACCGATTGTGTGGTATCCTTAATTAAAAAACCGAAAAAATACAATGTGAAGTTCTTAGTCACCACTTTAAAGTAAAGTCGAAATACGGATAAAAACAAATGCCCAGATATGTTCAGATCATACTGCTACAGAATCAGGAAGTCAGATAATGATTTCTGTAAGAATTCATGATCCATGGAAAGAAACTGGCCAAAAGCACTTTACATCTTCAAAAGTCTTTCATCGGATACCGAGAAAAAAACCAACTGACAAAACGCACTAGATAATGCACTCCTGCAGCCTTTTAACATCAGTCTTCCTTAGTAAATAGTCTGACCTTTGAAAAGTTGACCAAGTGTTCCCTGGTATGTATAAATTGACTTAAATATTTATGTAATCTTGCTAAAGTCACCAGAAGTAAGTGGTGTTAGACAATGCAAAAAGTGAATCTCAGTGAAGCAGCTCATATATGCTACGCAAAGAGTATCATACGTCTGCGTATAATCCAAAAGATTTCAGAAAGTTTTGAGTATAAAGTCAAAACAGCCCTATACATAAACGCTTCAAGCTGTCAGCGGTCCTATGCTGTTAGCAGATTATAATTTACATCCTCAAACGTTTATATATGTTCTTAATGGTAGCTGTAGATTTTTTTGTTCCACTGTTTTGTCTTTTTATAGTATGCCACGTTTTAGGATATTAATTTCCCAAAAAGTCCTTAGAGCATGGTACATTTTGAGATGATCAATTTTATACATCAGTTTTTTCAAATCACTGTGTAGTCCGCATAAGCGATGATTTCTATAGTGTTCTTTTAATTCTGTGCCAGGATATCAAAAGTTTCCACTCTCTATTCTAGGTTTAAGGAGAACTGGAATGGAGGCTACAGAAATATGAAATTGAGGAAAAGGCATTCGTTTTATTCGTCTGATAGATTATTAAATTCAGCGACACTAGAAGTGACATGACAAAAAAGAGTCATTCAATTCAGTGGCCCCTTCGACTGGGTTTCGGTAGTGGCTTTTTCACAAGGCTTTCATCTCTAGCTAACATTACCTTATCTTATTCATGAACTTGCCTGTTGAAAGTGAGTTGTATCAGCAAATACTTCCCTGGAATGGTACTCAACATTGTGGCTTGACTACATACTTCTAACTGGATCGTTTGGCTAAAGATGCATGATCAAGTAACCAAGCTTTCTACCATATTGTTGCGCTACGTTGTGTTACAGTTTTACAAATCTCTAATCAGTTCACCCCTGCATTTTTATTCTCTGACCAAGTCTAATAAATATACAATATCTATTTATCAACTAGTTTGTTTTATTTGTTTTTCTCATTACCATGGGTATCACACATGCCAAAAAAACCATTGGATGCCATATACACCTCTCTTAATTTGGGATGATAAACTGACAGGGAATGAAGAAGAAAGAACTGGACAGAGACTGCTAGATGGCTAAAATGTAATGAATTTTGAAGACTTTCTACGGTGTATACACAAACCATGGTGAACCGTGTTTTTTTGAATTCAAATTGGAGGCTTTTATCCCCTCTCTACAGATATAAATGAAGTAATGGGCTATAAACCATAAATACCATAAAACCATAAATACAAGAGGACTGTGTATTGAACAGAGTAGTTTGAGCACATATTCAATAAAGATTCAAACTAACCATCAGTTGGAGATGTTCTTAGCCGTTTGCATAGACCAGAAGCTCCACCATATTTTTTATTTACAATTTCCACTGCCTCAGCACCACGGAGTTGCATAAGTCCTTGTAGTTCCCGTACCGAACAGCCAAATTCTGAAGGTGAGTTATAAACGTTATCCATCGATGAGCGTTCATGCATTTTTATTCATTAAATCAAGTGCAGTATGAAGATAAACAGCTTAACAAGACTAAAAATTTGTGTTATGTCATATATTATTCCACATGCATAACGAAGAAACTATGTTGGCATTTTCGAAAAAGCTCAAAGTTGATTGTTTCTGTACTGGTGGTCAGTATCAACGTTACTGGTATTTATCAAGTTTGTGATTCCGTTGGTAATGCAATAATGAAATTTCCCGCAGACTCCACATTTGAAAAGGCGCACATTTAAGTTGATGTTTGTTGAGAGATTCAAACACATATGTCATGTGAAGTAATCTTGATTATTAGATTTGAAAACATACCTCGGAAGCTGAATTCGTATGCATAGGCACTGAAAATGAAAGGATGATTTACTTCACACCTCTCGGTGGGAAATAATTAAACTGTGAAGTGTAATACAGTCATTATTAGCTCAAAGTAGGCACAATCTGTCTTTTGATGGTTATAGTTTTTGCACTTATGCTGGTACGGTCACTTCATACCATTTCTGACCCTCTAAGAAAGTAACGATGGAACAGGTAGGTCTAAGAATTCCTTAACTTCCACCGACAATTCACAACGTGCTCCTGACTTTCACTTACTGGTTTCCCTTCGGTCTACTAGGTTATGCAGCGCATATCTGAGACGAAAGTTCTCTTCTTTTCAGTACTTTGGAACAAAGAATGCGCACCGAAAACCGCTCCCACTCAGTGTGCATGCAACATCCACTGGGAACATTTTGTAGAACTTCTAGTGATTCACTATCTCACTGACCTGACTTCAAAACATGGACTCCACACTTGTGGTTTCAGGATAAAAAGCCATTGGTTTATACTAACCTTCTTCCACTAGATCTTCGCCGTTTCCTAATCTTCCTTTGAACGCGTCAGTTGGTAATATAGATACTGCTTCTTGTGGCAGATACTTCGAGGAGTTGGTTACCCGATGCGGGAACCAACATTTTACAAACATTTCGTTTGTTTTTTGTTGTTTTCTCTCGCTTGGTCCTCAGAGGTGTTTCAACCCGGTGAGAGGGACACGATAGGATAGATCAAGGTAAGGGTCATTTCTCAGGATCCTGCATTGCAAGATCTGGTATTCGTACTGTCCATGTTAAGATTAGGAGGAGAGGTTAAGCTTCCGAAGTTGTCCTTCTTTCGTCAGGTTGGCTACCGTAGGGCTAATTCGGTTGGTCTTCCGCTGGACTGTCTTCGTATCGTCCACGTAACCTATAAGACATGGATTCACCACTTGTGCGGGGTTTCATAGCTAGGGTCCAGCTAAGGGTGTGCATAGGAGTATGAACATACACAATTTATTCCGGTGGGCGTTCCGCGAGATGCCTGGTGTCCGAAAACTCCGGGTGATGGCTAATCGACAGTGCACCGTGGTATTCACATTGTGACTTACTATGTTTCCTGTGTACTTGCGAGTCAGTACAGATGGTAGAGGGTCACACCAGTGTCGTAACTGCCGTCATGTATATGCCCCAAGTACATGCCCACAGACCGACCCGTGATGGCAGACATCAGCCACAAATGTGACAAGACTAGCAAGGTACTTTGGCCAGTTCTAAGCATGCGTTCACGACTATCATCCCCAGTTTCTCTCTGGACTTGTACGTCAGCAGCTTACAGAACTGTTGGAAGGGTTTAGCAATGTTCAGCACTTCATTTATGTGCAACAGAACTTGTAGAGAACCCGGGACTGTGCATCGAGGAACTCCATCATGCACCAACTTTCCAGAGAAGAGTTGAAACTTTGTGCCTGCTCTTTATTGCACATCAAAAGGGGACCATGTGGTCCATGAAAATAGGTCGCCAGTGATTACGAAACTTACCAGTTTCGTGAGCAACCTGGAAAGAGGTCACTTGTCAAAAGCCATGCTTAAGTCTATGAAAATGTCATCCACGTGTGCTTCATCAATCTAAGATTTAACCCTAACCGTGACTGTGAGTAGGTCCGTCAAGTGAGAGGAACCTCTGGGAAAACCGCATTTTGAACAAGATCATGGGGTGTGGAAGTGAACCGTAATGGCCTCCTTAACTACTTTTCCAAGGATCTTAACCACTGCAATACTCTAGCCCAATTGTAGGTTGGTGGGTGCTGACCAAAGCCTGCCTTGTAAATATGTGTGACTATGGAATCCTTCCTTCGTGGAGTGGTCCTTTTCTGGAAGACAGTCTAAATATAATGTCCAACAAGCCACCTAGAAAGAATGTGAGCTATCTGACCAGTTTAGGGTGGAGCCCATACGTTTCCGATGATACTTCTAACTCTAGAGTGCCTATTGTCCCAGGTACGTTATCCCAGTCAGTGTCTTCAGACTTTATTCCGTTGGACGCCAGTGCTTCAAGCACTGAATCTACATACTTTGACTTTTTCCGGGTCAAAACCGCAGCCCCTGGTTGCAGCCTCTGCTCCTTATTTAGACGCTAGTCTCTGTCTCGTTTGATTATTGTGGGAAATAACGGTGCTTTTTAAGTATTACAGTTTGTGTACTGAATTATCTCCCAGGGTCTTACACCATACCCTGGGTAAGGCCTGTTTCAATGCACATTCAAGCTCGATAGATGGCAGCGATACACTCACTTCAGGCTTCTTCATGGTGCCCCTTCACCTGGGAAGTACAAAGGTGAGCAACGGGACTCCAACGCACTTTCTGGTGTCGGAGCAAACTTCGATTGCTGCAGTTCATCTACGAAAGTAAGTTTTTTCCTTCTTTCTGAACTGTCTATAAAATTAATGGTTACTACTCATGCACACAACTGTCTGAAGGAGGATCACTCGGTCACAACTGGCTCCCGAAATGAACTTTCTGTCCTTCAAATGGATCTCCAATTTAATAGCTGCCATGTTTTGCTCACCATAAACTGCTAGGCTATGGTTGTGCTTTGTGCAAGAGTGCTGCTTTAAGTCTGAACCTAATAATAGTGTGATTTTAAACCAGGCTATGCAAGGCGGTCGATAAATTCCTGACTTTGTCCATAGAACCCAAGGAAACTGTTTCCACTGGCTCATGATAAAACGTATTAATTGATGCCTTTGTCGTAATACTATTCCACCCAGTTGGCAGTGCGTCAAAGCCTCTTACAACTAAGCACTTGCATATACCTCCTCATAGAACCAGGAAATTCTGGAGGAAGTCTTCCGGTCCACATCTGGGTCGTCGCTACACCAAAACTAGATTAAAATCTTGTTCTCCGCACACTGATTGGAATCACAGCATTTTGCATGTCCCACTTTTAAGTGTGAACTTTTCAACAGCTCTTACAGTTAAGGCATTCTTCAGGAGACAGAAGACAACGACACACCTGCATGTCGATCTATTACCCGGAAAAAGAACGAACTCTTGAAAACTTCTTTCGCTTTACACGTCCCAGGGAGAGGGTTCGTTAGAGAGATTCAAAACAATCTCAGAGCTTCTTATGTTAGGTAGATTATCAAGCTCAGTCCGTTTGTTCGAGAAACTGTATACATTTGCATGCAGGATGATAGAAACACATAAAAGGGTTTTCCTCCCGCCCACGGAGTCTGTGATGTCATCTGCTTCCAAAGCTCAACTGCACGAACACTTACCATTTTAAATCATCCTCCCCCGCTGCTGATTAGGATTTCATTAATTCTCCACTTTTTTGATCTCTTGATCCGATCCGCGTGAGGAAGCCAGTTTCTCCCATGCATTAGCGTTCTTCATAATGGTGCCCCTGTCCATTGCTGACTCGAACGTGACTTTAAGCAACCGGAACCCCGTTTCATAGCAGGGACCGCCTCTTTCTGCTTATTCTGTGAGCCTTGGGTATAATCACTCCTGATATTTTTTCCAGTAACTGCTTGCTTACCGAAATCTATACCTCATCGAGTTCATGTTCGAAATGGTTACGTAGCTTCGAGTCTACGCCTTCCTCAGTCATGTAGAATACTGCGAAATTTGCTCTTTATAGTGTTGACAACTGATTCCGGGAATGTGACTGATCCTTTAGTGCTCTGTTCATTTGTTGCTCGTGACTTCTCGAATTTGGATCCAGAAGGCTTTTCAGTGCGTAAACCTGTCACCTGGACAATAGCAGTCTCAGAACATAGTTCTCTGTTAAACAACGTGAAGGAGGGAATCGTATCAGCCAAAAATGAGGCAGTGCTGAGATCACTCTAATCCCAAAGAACGTCGTTCGGAGTATTACCTGTGAGGGCAGATAAACCCAAGTCACCCGTCGATACACGAGTCCTATTGGACAACGGTTATGATGTCAGCTCCATAAATGCTCATCCAGTTAGTTTACTAGACATCAGAAGTTCAGCGAATGCCCTATATGCTAATGCCAAAAGGCCCAAAACACATGGGCATGCGTGATAGTGTCGTTCTGCTCAAAATCCCTGGCCGCTCATGAGCTTGTGTTGCAAGAAAAACCACGCTAGTCAGCATTTAGTGAATAACATCTCCAGGGGTAAACTTAAGGTCAGAAAACCTTTAGATAAAACTCAGGGAGTTAAATTCAATAATGACTTTAAGCAGAGCAGTTTTAAGTGTATTCAGTCTAGCGACGGTCAGGAATAAGTTTGATTTCATTCAGGCGAAAATTCCGGCGAATGAAGCCGACGAGGCGGTGTGATTCGGAGCACTGTGCTATTGCGTGTTCTGTAAGGAAAAGGTCACTAGAGTACCTTGTTCTAAGGTCTCAAATAGTATTTAGCTGCTGTGGTGCAATTTTGTTCAATCGAAGATTAGTTGACACGCTTTGTTCACCGAAGAGCTTGTAGCTTTCGTTTCATTTTAACTGTAAGATCCTCCAGAGATAGCACAGCCTGATGTCTACGGCAAGTGAATAACAATATTTTAAGTACGAGGGTAGATCACCGAAACTTAGTCACTTAATACTGAAACTACCATCTACGGAGGGTGGCCAGAGTTACTCCGCACACCATAACTAACCACAACAAGCAAACACAATGTTCGTCCGACTACAAATCGGCCCACGCATCTACCATATTTTCTAATCT